CTATAGAGCAGTGAACATTTTTAACAACGTATTCTCAAATTCAGGAATAATTATAGGATTTATTCTTCACAAATTAATTTACTTCTAATTTATTATTAAACACTAACAAAATTTACGCCTCAGCGTCATATGCAATTTTTCCTACATTTAGATTGGCTAACAAGATTTCCAATGTGCTTTTGCGTGCCCTTCAATATTAATTGATGCTCGGGATTTAATTTTAGGTCGTAGATAATTTTCATACCAAATACTGCACCCATTTCGCAGCATCTGTTTGAAGACAGAAAAGTCATTGCACTCACCTCTATCGAAGTACATTTCGTGCTGGCTGCATCCACCCTCGCCTCTATTTCTTGCATCTTTTTATTTTCTTCAGGTTTTTTAGACGACTGATTATTTCCTCTAATTTTCCTCTCATATTGCCATGCATTGCTCCTACCTCACTACTCCCGAGCTCGAGATCTCGCTCTACTGACGCTTTCTGAGCCAGCAGCGCATCCTTCCATCCCTCAACATCAGTCTTCAGGTTGAGATTTTCATCAGTAAAACTGAAAATTACCACAGAAACGGAGACGAAACTATTCACGCTTTAGAGTTTGCCGGACATTTTGATCCGTAGTTTTGCCCAATAGACCGCAGAGCCAACTTCTTCTTGACCATCAGTTCAATAATTGTAAGCAACCCTCACTCCCGCGGCACCGACTGACGGGCGATGGCTCTGGTCTAGAGCAGGCTGCAGATAGGGGCAAGCAAAAACCAGCTAAAATTCAGTAATAATTAGCAAGTTTGTACTTAACGGAACAATAATTAATTTATTTTATACATCGAAAATTACAAGTGTAAGGTCATGACATATTTTTAACGTCCAAAGCATAGAAAAAAGGCCGGAAACGGCCTACATGGCAGCCCTGGACGTACGGCTGGCCAAGGCCAAGAAAATGTAATACAGAAAAATTTTCAGGTTGTTTGCAGAGATAATTTCTGTAGTCGGAGTAACGGAGCTTACTCTAGAATTATTATCTTGTGCCGTTGAGGTAACGAGACATTATGTATGTTTTTACATGCGTGAATTTATTATACTTGCTTTATGTACTGAATTTTCTGGAAATTATGTCTTTTTTATTAGAAGGAACGCGTTTCATCGAGGCAGTCGAGCGTACGAGTCGATACGTTTTTTTTAAAGGCCTCCAACACTCACCATTCCAACAAAAAGGAATTAATTTTATTAATAAAAACAGGGAATGGTTTCATGTCAATGATCAGGGCCCCGACCTTAACGCCTCTGATGGTGGCCTACACCGACTCCGAGGGTCACTGAGCAGTGACGCGAGCGAGGAGCGGGCCCACGTCGAACTTTTCTCTGACTGCTGTTAGGATGCTAGCTGCATTGCCTCTCTGCACGGCCAAACCCCTGTCTCTTATACACATCTAGATGTGTATAAGAGACAGCTCCAAGCCCTCCCGCTTCTCCCGGATAACGGCGGAGACGCCCTCCTCGTGGAGTGGGGCACCCAGTAAAAGTGACTTATGGGCGGGAACAACTTTTAGTGTTGGCAACGCCCCCCGAAACATCTCCTCATGCAGTTTCGAGCTCTTCCTCTCTCTTTCGAGCTCGATCCTCTCCTCTCGAGCTCTACCAGCTCGATAAATTTATGTTTGCGCTCGCATGCAAAGAGGCCTCGGGCGCCGTTGGCTAGGAGTCGGGGCTCATGTACACTATCCGCATAATAATGTTTCCACTCATAAATTTACAATTATTCTGCACTGTTCGTGACGCGTCCTCATTGCCAGAGGCCGCAGATGGTTTGCGGAGAATGAAATACAGATTTTTGGTATCCTACTGTACTTCTTTTCAGTCCATAAGAAGGCAGAACTTAAAATTAGTCTTAATAGTAACTCCTAAAAAACGTTAGTCGGTAACGATTGAGCAATTTAAGACGCTTAGGAATATTCAGAAATTTCCATATAGGCGGCAACAGGAAAATTTTGTCAAGGAAAAATTCTCTAACCGCCAAAATTTCTAAATAACCCGGAACGAGCCTGTCCGTGTACGCGGATACTAAAAAATATTAAAACTAAAACTAATAGTTAAGCTAATGCTGGGATTTATTCCAGCACAGTTCGTCTAATTTTGTACACACGATCGCATTAAAACTTTCTAATAAAAGTCAGCATTTAAAAGTTATCGCAGTAATACCACTGCGATATTTGTCAATGTTGCACGGTGAGACGAGCTCAAACTCCATGTCTGACTTCCACTTATAACCTTATTGCTAATATTTTGAATCCAAATTAGATGACCAATTGAATTCAAATTAGACCAATTGAATTCAAATTAGAGAAAAAAATTAGATTTTTTTCGAAGTTGCGACTTATCCGAAGTTTTCCACGCAGCGGACGTTGTACACTCATCCGACGCTTGTCACTAATATATTACTTAGAATTGTCTATTACTTGCCTTATAATAATTACTATTTAAGGATCATGCATTTCATTCTATGCGGCAATATGGCTCTCAATCATGGCTTAAGAAACGTTCCTTTGCATTTTTCTAATTTAAATAAATGTTTCACCTTGTAAAAAGTTACCTATAATTCGTTTGCAGCTTGGTGGTTCCAATACGCCCGAAAAAAATCTTTAGGGCGCCGTTTTAGGCTCGTCTGCAGTTGGTTGGATGTTAAGCAATGAAATTAATCGACCAAACATATAATAATGATCTGTCGTGTTGTTTGCCTACAGCCCATCACTGCCTGATGAGATAAAAAATCAATTATCAGGCGAGCTTTTATTCTACAAGAGATAAGGCTTTTAATATTCATATTTCACCGTCTGGTAAGATGCTCTATTTGATGTGTTGTGTTGGAGTTGTTGGTCGAATGGTTGAGTTTTCAGCGGCCGCTTGCCGCGGTTTGTGACTCCGCTTGGGGTCACAAGCCCACAGATTTGAGCCACGCTCCTATCAAAATGAAAATATTGATTTTCACAGCATAAAATTATAAGGAATCCCTGCTCTCACCCCCATTTGCATCTAATGCCACGTAAATTGAAAAGAAATAGAGTTTCTAATCAAGAATTTCAGTCGCGAAACTCTTGAAAAGAAATAACACAATTTAATATGTATTCTCGGTACCTCCGCAAATGCTCAACCATGAACAGGCCAGGGCACAATCAGTACTTATCTTCACCCGTAGAAAATGAAATTGAATTCGTCTTCGTGATCGAGCACCGTTACCTTTCAATGAAAGACCGTCACAGCTTCTCACAAAACTAAACACATTCTAAATAGTTTCTATTTGCAATGTTTGTAACATGGTGTGAAATAGTTATTTCTTAGTGCTGAGATAGTATTGCAAAAATCATAGCTTTTTCCAATGCGATAATTATAAGCGATGTTATTTATGTATTTTCCCACTAACAGATGTGAGCCAGCAACGACAATTTCCATTTTTATGCTATAATAACTCTTCAACTATAAATTTAAAAGCGAAGAAAACACCACAAAAATTTAGCATATCTCTATAGAAAACGTTTCGGAGGCCAGCTCCATCGTCAGTTCGATAAATCTAGAACACAGATAAAGGCATAAAATTAGTTTGGAGTTAATAAAAAAAACACAGAAGTTAAAAACCTAAATTTACAGACAAAGGGCAGAATAATAAAGTAAGTACCTATCTATTCACAATTTCTAATGGATAAGAACTATAGGCAGCATTTAAACTAGGCTTCTCTTTAAAAATATACAATGATTCCAAAAGAGGCAGATCGGAAGCACCAGAAATATAAGCTAAAACCTTAAAGTCTGTGTCGGACACTGGAACGTTGCACTGTTCGGCGTGAGTGCGCACAGCCGAATGAGGAGGGCGCGATAGTAACTGCCCAGTCTTATAACTCCTCCCTCTATGCTCAGCGACCCTAGTGTAAAATTTGCGTACCGTCATCCCAACGTACGCAGATGCACATCGTGCACAACTAGATTTACAAACTAGGGACGATCGCATATGAGAAGGAAGGATATCTTTGCACCTAAAAAACGAACCTATTTTGAAATTATTCACCAGTAAGATACGAAAATTAATGTCCGGGAAGTATTTCATAAACAAAACTTTTAATTATCTTGACATATCTTCGGACGCATGGCCGAAGTATGGAAGAGAACAGTAAGCAACGCTTCTACTATCAGACTCTGGAATAACTTCACTGTATCGCTTAGACATGAATTTCTTAATCTGGGTAAACACCAAGCCAGAAGGAAATCCATTCAGCGAGAAGATATTGCGCAAAAATTCAAATTCAGAATGCATGGAATGGAAAGTCGAGCATATACGAAAGCCGTGGTGGAATAGTTTTTGAAGCCCGTTTAACTTGAGTCTAAAAGAACAAAAACTAAAAAAGCTGGTGCTTGGGCCGGTGAAAGTTGGTTTTCTGTAAACAGATGTTTGAAAACGGCCATTAGATTTAGTAATATTGCAGTCTAGAAAGAGACGAAGCTATGCAGGAGCATATGTTCAGTCTTAAAATGCCTAGCAAATTACGGACCAGGCAATAAGTCCAGCAGCTATCTCAATCAATGGTCAGTTACGGAAAGATCAGGTTCCAAAGGCCGGATCCCTTGCGAATCAAGTCACGAAAAATTCAAGAATCGGCAACAGGCCATGGGCCTAATTCTTCAGTGCCGACACTTCTATTCTGTTCTATGACTGCCGAGCTCAATTCTCAGCAAAAATCTACGGAGGAAGATACCAAGTTTCAAGTATCATAGGCACGAGACTTCACATATACGGAAATTTATGCTTGAATATAGCGATGCTCAAACATCTTAAGTGGACTGAGATTTTATTATAATTTTGGAAGCGTGTTGTTTGTTATTCTGCGTGGGAAGAATCACTCACTTAGTAATATTTATTATGATATTTAACGTGTTGTAAGCGTGTTGTTACTCTGCGTAGGAAGAACCAGTCACGTAATAAAATTTAATATGATATTCAACTGGGGCTCTCGGCATGTCGTGGGAGGCTGTCGGCATGTCGTGGGAGGCTTTCGGCATGTCGTGGGAGGCTATCGGCATGTGGAAGGCTATCGGCATGTCGTGGGAGGCTATCGGCATGTCGTGGGAGGCTGTCGGCATGTCGTGGGAGGCTATAGGCATGTCGTGGGAGGCTATAGGCATGTCGTGGGAGGCTATAGGCATGTCGTGGGAGGCTATAGGCATGTCGTG